GAGGCTCCAGTTATGTGCAGACACTTCTTAGCTGTGTGATTGTGGGTACATCTCTTAGCCTGTCTAGGCCTCCAGTTCCTCATCTGTAAAATGAAGACGGGTTGGACAGGACGGCCTAATATGTCTCTTCCCCCTTTGCCTATAATTCTAGGAACTAGGGGGAATCAGGAAGGGCTTCCTAAGGAAGCAGTTGCACCTTAAGTAAAGCTAACAATTCTAAGAGGTGAGGATCAAAGGCACTCCAGTTACAGGGGGATAGCCAGTGAAAGGGCATGAGAGAGGAAATGGATTGCAGGGTTCTGGGAACAGCAAGCAGGTCAGTTTGACTGGGACGTCAGAGTGTGTGAAGGAGAGTGATGGGAAATGAATCTGGAAAGGTCAGCTGGAGCCAGATTTTGAAGGAAGGGCTTTAAATGCCAAGCAGAGAAAGCTTATCTAGGCTTGTCAGGGGTGTAGCATGGTCAGAGCTATGCTTTATAAAGATGACTTTGGCAGCTTTGTGGAGGATGAATTAGAGAAGGGAAAGATTAGAATAAGATGAAGCAGAAGGCTGTTGCAAATGGTTGGGGGTGGTCCAGAGAGTAGAGACAAGGGATCTGATGAAAGAGATGTTATGGAGGGAGAACCCACAAGCCTCGGCCACTGCTTAGTTGGCAGAGGGAGTACGGGAGAGGGAAGTGAGTTTTGTGTTTGCATCCCCAGCACATCACGCGGCGGCCCCCCACTTACTAGATGCTTGCTGAATGTAAGAGCCTGGGAGGACTTCAAGGCTTCAAACCTGGGGGAGTGGAAGAATGATGGGGCCCTAAATAACCATAGAAATTAATATGCCTGTGTAAGCTTAAGGGAAGGAGAGAGAATGAGTTCCTTTTGGAACATGATGAAAGGAAGTGAATGAATGGAATGTCTCTCCTTTTCCTAGGAGACTGGCTGAAAAAAAAATGGGAGGAGAGATAATGGACAATAGTCTCAGGGGATGGTGCAGTCCACTATAAGTTTTTTAAGGTTGGAGGAGTTTTGGACATGTTTGATGGCAGCAGAGAAGGAATGGCTCTTCAAACAGGTCTTTTATGTCACTTCTAAAATAATCTTTCTTATGAAAAAAATCTGGTCATGTTACCTCTCCTTCCTTCCTGCCTGCCTCCCCTCCCCATTCCAACTTCCACTTGTGTATTCTCTTCTCCCAGTAGATTGTAAGCTTCTTGAGGGTAGGGACTATTTATTTGTATCCTCAGCCTTTAGCAAAGTGCCTGGCACACAGTAAGTGCTTTATACATTTTTTCTCTTTCTCCTTAAAAACTTCAGTGGTTCCTTGAACTGGGTGTTGAAAGCCCTCCATGACCTGGCGTGGCTGCTATCTTTCTGGTTGGAGCTCACACAATCACCTTTTGGGCATGTTATGGTTCATCTAAAACTCAAATGCCACTCCCTCTAGGAAGCCTTTCTTGATCGGCTGGTTGATTTTTCTTCTCAGGCCTCACACAGCATTTTGAAACATCTTAATGTATTTTTCATGTAATATTTTATATCATTCGTCCCCTTGACTAGGAGGGAAATTCAACATCAGGGACAACTACCCTGATTTTATCCACCCTTTTAATTTTAGCCAGTTGGTATATACAGTACTGTAACAGAAGGTGCTCAGATTTCTGAGCTTCAAGATTTCAGTTCTTTGAGGCAGACAGTGCAGATGTTATGGCGGAATCTGAATCTTGGCTTCTCCAAGGATAGAGTTAGTGTAGTTAAGTGCTGATGGCTCCTAATTCCAAATCCAGCCTTGTTTCCACTTCTTCCCCAGAGGGAAGGGGTAGAGGGAGTGAATAAGCATTTACAGGACTTACTATGTGCCAGATATGTACTAAGCACTTTACAGAGATTATCTCATTTGGCAAAAGAAGTCAGCCCTAGGCCAAAGTCATTGTGGTATCTATTGGTTTTTGTTTTTAATTTTTTTTTAAATTTTATTAATTTTGATTTATCAACAATCACTTCCATATGCTTTTGAGTTTAAAAATTTTCTCCCCCTTCCTCCCCACCCCCCTCCCCAAGATGGCGCACAATCTCACATAGGCTATATAGTTACATTCCTATTAAACATATTTTCACATTAGTGACGTTGTAAGTAAAAATTAAAACCAATAAGAGGAATCAAAACTCCACAGAAGAGGAAAAAAAAAACAATAGCAATTCAACTTCCATAGTTCTTTCTTTGGATGTGGATAGTATTTTCCACTACAAGGCCTCTGGGGATGTCTTAGATCCTTGTATTGCTGAAAAGAGTTAAGTTTATCAATCTTAGTCATTGTACAACGTGGCTGTTATTGTGTACAAAGTCCTCTTGGTTCTGCTCACTTCACTCAGCATCAGACCATGTAGGTCTTTCCAGGTTTTTCTGAAGTCAGCCTGTTCATCATTTCTTATAGCACAATAGTATTCCATTACATTCATATGCCACAACTTGCTTAGCCATTCCCCAATTGATGGACATCCTCTCAATTTCCAATTCTTTGCCACCACAAAAAGAGCCGCTATGAATATTTTTGTACATATGGGTCCTTTTCTTATTTGTATGATCTCTTTGGGATATAGCCCTAGAAGTGCTATTGCTGGGTCAAAGGGTGTGCACATTTTTATGGCCCTTTGGGCATAGTTCCAAATTGTTCTCCAAAACGGTTGGATCAGTTCACAACTCCACCAACAATGTATTAGTGTTCCATTTTCCCACATCTTCTCCAACATTTATCATTTCCTCTTTTGTCATGTTGGCCAATCTGGTAGGTGTGATGTGGTATGTGGTATCATCTATTGTTGACTAGTTGGCCAATGGCCAGTTTTGTAAAAACATTTTTTTGGATTTCTTTCTTTCTACTCATGCTGCAGATGACAGTTAATTGCCTCATTAGTTTCATGCCCGAGATTTGTGGTGTGTCAAGTTTTGCCTCATCAGGAGGAAAGAGTTCAACAAGGGTCAAGTAATTCAGCCCATCTTATTCATCTACAGAAACAAAGTAGGGGGCAAGAACTGACGATAAAAGCTCAAGGACCAGAAGCCCACCAGGGTGCTCACTTAATCTACACACTGCTTTGAGGAAAGAGAAGTAAATGATAAAGGGAAAACAGACTCGAATCAGGATTTAGCAACAAAAGGTAGCTAGATGGTCCAGTGGATAGGAGCACTGGGCTGAGAGTCAAGAAGACTCATCTTCCTGAGGTCAGACCCGGCCTCAGACCAGACACTTACTGGCTATTCGACCCTGGGCAAGTTACTTAACCCTGTTTGCCTCAGTTTCCTCTTCTGTTAAATAAACTGGAGAAGGAAATGGCAAACCACTCCAGTACCTTTTCCAAGAAAACACCAAATAAGGTCACAGTTGGACAGGACTCAAAAATGACTCAACACCACCACCAAACAAAATGCAATTTCCTGGGCATGTTCTAGATTCAGTATTCATTTGTTCCCATCTCCTACATGTACAGTATGGTACAATCATCACAGATCCTGAGGCAGATGATGGACTGTTAAAAAAAAAATGAAATTATTCTTTGTATTTCCTCAGGCTGAGCTGCCTGTTTTGCTAAGAAAATGCTATTAATTTGTTATTAATTTATTGCACAGGATTTTAGAGCTAAAGGGGGCTTTAATTTAATTTAATCCAACACTCTCACAGGCCCAGCTTAAGGTTGGGTCACCTGCCCAGGGTTATACAAGCAGTAAGGAAAAGAGCCGTGATCTGAACCAAAGTCTTTTGACCCCAAGTCCACTGTTCTTTTCTGCTGGCCCGCTGTTCCTCAACAGCTTGGACCCACAGTGGTTTTCTGGTTAGTCTGTAGTTAACCCTGCCTGCGACCTGATGTTATGGCAAAGCAATGCTCTGTTCTATAAAGAAAGTGCTATGAATGTGAGTGTGCAATCATTTTTCATTGTGTCTGACTCTGTGTGATGCCATTTGGGGTTTTCTTGGCAGAGATACTGAAGTGGTTTTGCCATTTACTTCTCCAGCTCCTTTGACAGATGAGGAACTGGGGCAAAAGAGCGAAGTGACTTGCCCAGGGTCACACAGCTAGTAAGCATCTGAGGCCAGATTTGAAGTTGGGAAGATGAGAGTTTTCCCCATTCCCCAGCCCAGTGGTCTATCCACTGTGCCACCTAGTGGCAGCGAAGTGTATTGAACTATCAAGTTTCAACAAATTCAATTCAGCATTTTAAAATCTGGGATGTGCAGGGAGTACAAAGATAAATACAACACAGTCTCTGTTTTAATGGAGTTGATAATTTTTTAGAGGTACGAAACACATACACATAGAAGTAATATAATATGGCAAGCAGAAAGTGCTAATATTAAGTCTGAAGAAAGTTCATTTCCAGTCGGGGAGGGGGTATGGATTAGGAAGGAAGGAAATAAACATTTATTTACTAAGTGCCAGGAACTCTGATAAATGCTTTCCAAATATCTTATTTGATCCTTGCAATAACCATGAGAGATAGGTGCGATTATTATCTTCATCTCTATTTTACAGTTGGGGAAACTGAGGCTTACTGAGATTAAGTGACTTGACACGGCTGGGAGTGGGGCAGGAAGAGAAGTCACACAAGTGACAGGTTGATTTGAACTTAGAATTCCATCTGAACCAGACTCCAGGCCCAGCACTCTATCCATCGTACCACTAGCCGCTTCTTGCAAAGGGGCCATTTGAGTTTTAGTGGATAAATATGATTTCGAAAGAAAGGGAAGGAGGGCATTTCAGGCATTTCAAGGTGTAACATGTTCAGATCTGTGTATGAGAAAGATTAATACGGTACTGTCTGAAGGAGAGATTGGAGAGGGGAGGCGCTGGTTAGGAGGCATTAGTCCAGGAGAGTGAAATGATACTCTGGGCTAGGTTGTTGGCAGCTGGAAGACAAAGGAGAGGACAGATACAACAGATTGTGGTGGAAGTTCAGCAACATGTGTCTGTTTTGAGATAAAAGACTGTGTTTAAATAACTTGTTTTTCTTTCAGAATAATCAATGCATTCCCGCAGGATTAGAGAACTACTACTCAGAACAAGACTCCAATGCCCGGGGGAAATTTTACACAGTCATAAACCACTACAACTTGGCCAAGCAAACCATCACTCGCTCAGTATCTCCATGGATGTCGGTGCTGTCAGAGGAGAAACTGTCAGAACAGGAGACGGAAGCTGCTGAGAAATCGGCTTAGTGGGATAGGCCCATTATTTCCAATATGTCATTTGAAGGTAACAAAGGGACTTTAAGGAACATTTCATTAAATATAATTATGGATAATTTAGAGGTTACTCATTTATGGTGCAACTGCTTCTGTTTGCTGATACTGCTTTGCAAATAAAACTTGCTGCAGAACATTCATGGGCATAAAACCAAGTGCATATCAGCATTGCTTAAAGAGCTCTGATGCCATTCCCCACGTTAAGAAGTCTTCAGTTAGCTAACCCAGATATAGCCTGGGATTTATTGGATGTTGTCAGAAAATAAATGTACGCTGGATTTGCCAGGGTGTAGACTTCAGATAAATCATGCATTTTACCTGTCTGAACTGATACACATATTTTTAATCACCTTATTGTTTTGCAAACTGAACACCACGGCCATAACTAGAGTGATCTCTTGTTTAGCTCACAGTGAACTGGGCTTGAAAATCCTTTCCAACTCAAATTCAATGATAACAATGCTGACTCCTAAGTCACGCAGTAATGCCTGGTGTAGAGACCCAAGGGGGAAAAATTCATCAGGTGGCATATTTATTGCATTCCCTCACTTGTAAGTGATGATGAGGTTCTCTGCAACAAGGCATGTTCATTGGGGTTTTCTTATCAACAGCAACAGAACATCACTGCATTTCCTTGGTGGTTTTGGCAACCTGGTAAAGAGGTGAATTGAAACCCCTATGTGATAGTTACTAAAAAGTATGAACACATTTCATTATGAGTGTATTTGGATGGTGTAAATGCATTTGGGAGGTGAAGGGTGTTCTGTTTAGCAGTGGCCTCCTGGGTGGCCCTCCTGGACAGTGAGGAAACCCTTTTTTTTTTTTTTGTAGATAGTCTACTATGTAATTTATGTGATAGGAAAGGAAGTCTTCATTCACAATGGTTCATTTTTATATTCCATTAGAAATGAGTCTGCACTGATCTTACTGTTTGCAAGTTAATTAGGAAATACAACAGGGGTTGGGAGTGGGTTGGGGAGGGAGATAAAATTGTGGTGGCTGTTTTAATCTAAGCTTTCTGAATTTCTGAATTGCAAGAACTGGGAAACCAGGTATAATAACCCAAGATATAAGGAACAGGTTAAAAGAGGACATGGAGACCAGTGTTGTAGCTGCAGGTTCAATTAGGAAATTTCATTTCACAATCTCTGTAAGGAAATCATATTTCAATTTTATTCTGAACATCAAATATATGTTTACAAAATTGCCAGTTAGACAAAATAAGCGTGTAAAACAATTAAATATAAAAAGATATTCACAATTTTTTCCCTCCATGTTATTCTGAATGTGCTATCTCTAGTGGACATGTCAAAAGTTTCATTGTTTTTTAGTAGATAACCGAAATAAACAGCAAATAGCAGTAGGTTGTTCTCCCAGATTAGTCAAACAAACATGGTGAGCATGGTCAATTCTACCCCGAGTTCCTTAATTTTTCTTCTAAGACAAATATATTTTATTATCAAGAATGTTTCTAAACAAGGACCATGCTTTCTTAATTCTACTGTTTTAACTACCAAACATACAATGAGTGTTCACTGAACAGTTATGTACTGTAAATGACTAGGGTAACAGTCACTAAGCAGTGTGGAATGCATAAAAAGCAATAAATTATGTGCCAAAACTTTTCCTGCATAAAAAAGAACTGAAATCCATGTAAACACATGATGAAAACAAACCATGTTTGCGTTTTCTAGTAGATTATATACTTTATTGAATGTAAATTCATTCGCATGTAACTTTTGACATTTTCACTCTGTGTAAATAAAGTACAATAAGGATATCACTGGCTGCCTAATATCTGTTTTGAGAGTCCGCATGCATTTTCCAAATATTACAGCAGAACAAATTATATCAACACATTTATAAAGGGGACATTAAGACGCAGAGACAAGGCAAGGCTTCATGTCATGGGGTGGCCTACACAGAGGTGGTTCACAGATGTTTGCTCTTTCAATCAATAATTAATCTTTCAAATTTCTACTCTTTAGGCAGCCAACTGCTGAGGGACAAAAGTAGGCCCAGGACTTCCAATGTAGATCTTCTCTGTACCAAGAATTCCTCTGAACATAATAGCAGGAGATTGAGCCTAATATGAACTACCTGCCAGCCCTGTCATAAAAGCATACAGTGTGATATTTCCACTCAGAAGGCAGTCAAGAACAGCACCTACCTTAGGCTACTGGTTCTTGTCTATGAGTTTATGCCTTGATTATACCCTAGAAATAAATACTTGATGAGTTTGGCTTCTATCTAGTTGATCTTTGGTTCCACTGCAATGTTTCAGTACCTTGTCATTACATGATGTGAATACTCTGAATGATCTAGATCTTAATTTTTACATTTATAATCTACAATAAGTTAAATCATGTTAAACAAACTCATGAGATTAACAAGTAGACTATCTTTTTTTCTTTTCTACAAATAAAATAAGCCTTTGCGAAATGAACGGTTAATCATTTCAGTAAGATGAGAAGTTGCAGGAAAAAGAACAGAAATAATCATTTTGTAGGGAGATTACATAAATGTTTTCCCTGAGGTCTAACAAGATGGGAAATCAGTCTCCCTGCACAACCCCTTCCTCAAATTAAGGTCTATGCATTCTCTGCACACCAAAAGCATTCTTCACAATATCACTCATTTTGATAGGAAACTGAATTCTCTACTACTGAGCTACTCAGTGTAGTTTTATGTTTTTAAAAAGGTTTCAGTCAACAATTCATTTTACTTTTTATTACTAAACTAAAACCTTCTAAGTGCAAGAGTTCATCGTGTCTACTAAATGTACTGAAATAATCTGAGGATTCCCTTTATGAGTGTGTACATATACAAACATCCCTAAGTGACTTCGTTGTAAAATTCCTGAGTCACAACTCTGTGACAGTAACATAAAACACCATACAGTACATTCTGCTTTGTTCAAAGCAAAGTGTTCTGTGATTTAATGTTCAGATGAGCAAGGCACCAAGGCCTTCAGAATGAAAAAGACAACAAAAAAACCCCAAACCCAACCACGACTAGCTATCATACCAGTCCAAGAAAAGCAAGGAGAATGAACACATCACAAGGAAGAAAAGAATCCAAACACGGAATCCTGCGTTGTTTTTAATTGCCTGCAAAATAAAATGTTCAATCACTTTACCAAACTTAAATTTTTAAAAAGCACAAATACATCCTATTTACTTCTCTGTATGTGATCTCTAAATTCCCGATCTAGCTCTAAAATTCCATGATTCTGGGAAACCCGATTTTATTAGGAGCCATATTGCTTTTGAGTTACTGCAGAAATCTATTTATTGCTTGTAGTCTAGGGCTCTCATTATGGCATATCATTAGCCCAGGTTTTTCATTCGGCCACACTGCATGGGTTAAGTCAAATAAGATTACTATTTCTGTTCTCCACGGATGATATCATAAAATCTAAAACAGAAAGTAAGCCTTAGAATCCTCTAGTCCCAACACCCTCATTTTGCAATCAACAAAACTAGGGCTTAGGTAGACAAAGTAACTTAACCAGGATTACACATCAAAAAAAGCTAACCAGGATTTAAATCCAGCTCTTCTGACTCCAAATCCATTTGCTTCTGATTGTTGCCTGGCAATCTCAAATGTTCTCCCATTACCATGCTAACAATGATATGTAGTTTGGTACATGTTTCCTTTAAATAGTAAATTTAATTACTAAATAAAGGCAAGACACATGTTTAAATGAAATCAGAAGACATATTTATTTGGACTAAAGTACAATACCCTTACTACCGGGAAACAAACAAACCACCACAACAACAAAAAAAACCCCACCAATGCTAAGAGTCAACTTTGAGAAATCTTACTACAAAACTTCTGCAGCACTTCAGCAGATGCCCATGAAGCTTGACTCATGAACACTTGCATTGGAAAACAAAAATAAAATGTCATCAAAGTAAATTTCAGAGTAGCAAATATTTGGCAAGAGCTAGAAGTAAATAAAGAGCCCCTCAGAAAACTGAAATACTGATCATATAAGGCAAGGTTTGAAAATCAGGTTTGACTTAACTGAGGAGCTTGATGTTTCCAACAACAGACCACGAACATGGCCATGCATTTCAAGCACAAACTCTAGTTAGGCTATGGTACTAGGTTAGGGTGGCCCCTCTCAAGAGTATCTTTTCTCGGGTTTCTTGTTATTTAGAGGGATCCACAGAATCCAGCATACACCAAGTGGGGAACATAGATCTAATCACATACCCAGAGTTAAGTATCTGGATGTGAACAAGGTACATCACTTTGGGTCCCACAACTGAATTCTCAATATCAATACCTGGTATTAAGATGAATAATTATTATCTAGGCTATCTCTAGTCTCCTCCCAATGAGGACAGCTGAATATTTAGGACACCAGTGGTAATTAGTGCAAAGACCCATCCAAAACTAGATGTCAGGATATTTATCCACAGAATTCTTTAGAATATTTACCTACCTCCCTTATGTCTTCATTACCTTCCTTGATATTCTCTGTTGCACCAACAACTAGCTGGTGAATGTTGTCGATCTCAGTTTCCTATTACAGAAAAATGTTAGATAAGTGCATTTTTAACCTAAAATATAAATGTGGATTTAGGGGGAAAAAAAAGTGAATTCAATATTCTATTCTAGTCTCTATATTACAAGCATGCAATGGCTAAAAACCCAAACCCCAAATTAGAATACAAGATGTTTTCAAATAATTTTTAAAAAGTCAATTCATCATTAATATACTTGGAAAAAATGAACAAAAGGTGATGTGTCAGACGTCACTCTTAGGACCGCACAATAAGATTTTTGGCTAACAGGTTTTCTCCTCTCCTACATCAACATATTTTTTATAAGTCTGCTTGTCTCTCTTCCTTCAAAAACAGTAGAGATGATGTTTACATACATTCTCTCATTTGAGGTCTCTTCCAGCTTTGAGATTGTATGGTACTGCTAACATTCAGTGTGAGAGAGTACAAATATTAGCCGTGTAATTACAACGAATGTATTACACATTCTTAAGAACAGCATCAATACCTGTTATTGCTTTAACCTTCTAATTATGGTTCTTAAGAGAACCTTAAAGCAAAAGCTAATTAGTTACTAGAAGTTTAGCATTCCTATGAGATCAATCAATATTAATATCCTCACCATATAGATAAACCAGGGCAGATATTTGCTCTGAGTCTCAGAAACAAAGGCAGGATATAGAAACTCTATATGCAGTGATCAATTTCAATTCTGCAAACACCTAAGAAGTACCTCCTGTGCCCAGAGCACTGCATTAAATACTCTATTAAAAAAAAATTTCTCCCAAACTTATAAGGATCACCACAACAGGCGATATAAGAGAATTTTAAAGGAAAAGGCAAATTGAAGAAAATGAGCATACAACTGACAACTATTATGAACAAACTTCAGGAGAATACAACTGTCTTGTCTGAAAAAAAAATGTCAGACCAAAATTCATACATGGCAAAATGATTATTTCCTTAATAAAGAAGTTGTGACAACTTAGAGATGAATAAGGTTGCAATTACTTGTACATTAGCTATGAAAAAAGAATTGCTAAGCAAATATTTTTGAAGCAATTTTTAGCCTACATAGGTGAACAAACTTCTGAATGCTTCGGCACCACCATTCTCATACAGTGAATCCATGTGTTAACTTTCACTGTTCATTTAATGACTGGGGTTACAAAATGTACTTGAAGATATTCTGTAATTAAGACTTTTCACTAATTATGACCTTTAATCAGTTAGTGCATGCCTTTTCTGTAATTCAACCCAAACTGGGTACACTTTTATAATGCACAAGTTAATAGCAGCAATGATTATATATGAGAGGTATCAGTTGGAAAGACATGTACCTGTGTCAGTACCCAGTGCCTGGAGTATTTATTAGCTCTTCTAATAAAGTGATCGTGCACATTATTTTTTACACTACAGACATGTAACAGATCTGTTTTTCCACAATAAAAAAGTAAATTTCTGACTGCACCACAAATCTGGATTGATATCTACAACTGTATATTCTACACAAGGGCAATCACTATTAATTTTCTGATATTAACCTTATCATATATATGAATGGACAATACTTTAAAACATTATTAAAAATAATGTTTGGTGAAAGTGAAAACCCAATTTGTTTCTGGATTTAATGAATGAAATTTAAGAACTGGTTCATTATTGCCATGTGGTTTAAGGAAAGTAAATTGTTTAGTTAAAATTTCTTATGTCAAAGTTGCCTACCCTAACAAGTAAGAGAAAAGACATTTTTCTCTTAAGCATCATTAGTTTTTAAAAATTAAGAGGGACATGGCAGATTTATCAGGTAAGATTTTCCAAACAAAACAAAATATTTATCAGCTGTCTTTTTTTGAGGGAACCTCAAAATTTCAGTTATGTAGTAGGCAACATAAAGTATAAATCACTCTAACAGAAAACAATGACATTTCTTATCTACACCCTTTGCATTATTAAGCACTACACAGTTTTAGGGGGGAGCCAGACTTATTAATTTAGGTTCTATCAAATTCCCATACTCAGCCGTTAGGTTTCTAGATTCATTTTTATTTTGTTAACTATCTTATTTTAATCACATGCTCCTTCAGGAGAATTATACCTAGCACTTTACCTTCAATGTGCTTTACTTATTAATACTACAGGCTTATTCCCACTTAATGTTGTTAATCTGTTCTGCCAAAACACAATGTTAGGTGAGAATGGAAATGGGGGCTGTTTTGTCCCTTGAGAATACCGCTGAACATAGGGACAGTAAGCAGACTGACAATCAATGGAGCTAAAGTTGCTGGGGTTCAATCACTCATCTGGCTCATGACCAACTATCTGATTTGTTTTGTACCTTGAGTGATTGTGCAGAGGACATTACAGAAGGGTTTCATGCCTTTATGGAAAGGCTTGCTTATAATGGATTAATCATAATGTATTAGTTATACTATAAAAGAACACTGTTTAGAATGTTATAATAACAGTATCTGGCAATATCAGAAAAATAATGTGATTAAGAAATGTTAAGTCATTCATGATAAATACATTCCAACTTTACCTGTTGCAAAACCTTTTCTGTGAATATCTCTTGAAGTCTGGAAATTTCAACCACTTTTCCCTCAATTTGCCTTCATAAAAACAAGAAAGGATTTAATATATTTTATGTCAACTACAACTTGATCTATATATCATGAAAGATACAAAATTTCAGAGTTAAGAGTTCAAATCCCACAGTAGGACTAAACGTGACAACTTTGCCAGAAATTATGGATTTTTAGTGGCCCCCAAAGAAAAAGTCTTTCCAATGTGATGGTGGAGGTATGTTGGAGAAACTCAAAACAGTTAACTAAATGGAGAGGATGGTGGAGAAGATTAATTTTAAGTATGGCTTTAGCTTTAATTTTTTTTAAACTCTTTAGCTAGTTTTCCCTATCTGTGGCAATCTATGCTGATCTAATGATTAAACTGGCATTTATCAAAAAAAGGAGATGGAATATACAAATATTCTTTCCATTGCATGGACATCTATGAAGTAATGTAAGAACACATATTTAAATTAGCTACAGAATTCCAAAATTTGTTAGAAGGACTTTGAGTATGGGCCCAGCAGTGAACTATGTTTGTCATCTGATACCTACAAAAGACAGATTCTTAAAAGTATGAGGGGTAGATACCAACTTTTATATTATATGTGTTTTGCAAAATACATACTCAATTTTACCTTCCACATGTTTGCCTAACACTAAAAGAGTTATGGCGGGAAAATTCCAAACCACACAGTGCAAAGGTTCCCTAGACGCCATATTTGTTATTTGAAGCATCTGTGGTTTATTGTCAGTATTCCCTCCTCCAAGGAAGAAAATACCTGTCTGCACAAGTTGCCAAGACTGAAAAGAAGCGTATCTATTCCACGGTAAGCAACCTTCTGATCATGAGTCTTCTTGTATTAAGGCAGGCTGGTCCTTGGGTGAAATGCATAGAGTCTATCACTGGGTCTGTACTCAAAGCCTTGTTAGCTCAGTACGACCTTCATGCCAAAAGGAAGCCTTGGAGAGTCAATATTGCATCACCATCGTTATTGTTGTCGCTGTTGCTATTAAAAATAACAACAACAATTTCTCAAATACTCTATTAGCATTCTGCTTTTAAATGCTCAGCTGGCTACTTAGAAGGTCCAAATCCTGGATCATTATATTCCTTTTCTCTATGATATTATGTATATTTCCCCATCAAAGTGTCACAATGAATATACATGCTAAACTTGCTAAGAAAAGTTCAAAGTATATTTTGGAAAAATACATAAGTTTTCATTGACAAATGAAAAACATACCTCACTTCATCAAATAAGCTGTTCATTTCACCAACAAGTCTCTGATTTTCTTGTTCAAACTGGAAAGGAAATACAGTGTATGGATGGCATCATATTGATTTCTATTCAAGTACAGATGAAACAAGAGGATAGTGTGACACACACACTGAAAAATCAGATCAGTATTTCAGTAGTCATTTTCACATTTAGAGAAGGGATACTGTACCTAAGGGATACAACTGCTTGAAAAAAATCAGTGTAAGTTTAGAAGTTTTTGTAGTTTGATGACAAAAAAAAGGGGGGAAAAAACCCCACAATGCTCATCTTTTCCCTCTTAATTTAAAATGAAGCCCCACTCCAATGCTACTCCCTCCATGAAGTCTTCCCTGACACTCTTGGTCACTAGTGAACTTCCCTCTTAGATTCACACAGTATTTTGTTATGTAATTATAAACGAATCTGGACTGAGGTTGCACTGAGTAGTGTATGGGCTTGGAATAAGAAATGGGTTAACTCTGACATTTACTAGCTATAGGACCCTGAACAATCCACTCAACCTGTTTGCCTCAAGCAACTCCCTAGGGTTGACCTTTTAACTTCTAGACAGAATTTCAATCTTCTCTGGTGAAGGGAGTTCTCCACTATGATAAAGTCACAAGTTCTTAGCAATATTCATGTATTCTGTATTTTAGCAACTGTATTAGTGCAGGTGTCAGGACTCTAAGTTCCATTGTTGACTGTAAGTCCCCAAGATGAGAGAGGCTACAGGAAGCTGTAGTATGCACAAAGGCTACACCTGATAAACCTACTCAGCTGATAGACTAAACCAGATTGGGGATAACCAAGAGGGCTCAAACCTATTGGTGAGATGGGGGGATGTCTACCCCAAGCATGAGGCCTTGCAACAGTTAGAGCTCAGTTGAAGTTATGTAACATAAATTTGCAGTGGACCCAGTCAGTACAAGTTTTGTAATTTTCTTCAACTTGTTTTAGCAGCTTCTGTGTAGGAGTGAAAGTAAAAGATGGTGAGAGTGATCCAGGGCTGAGGCTTGGCAGGGCATGATCAGTGATACAAGGGAGTCAAGGGTTCAAAATACCAGTGCTGAAAGAACTCTCAGGGTTTGGAATGACCAACCTTGGAAGTTGACTACATTAATGCTATACTCAGTTACCACGAAGGATGAGATGGTTGGAGCCCCAAACTGACTGATTCTCTTCCCTTATTCCATGGCAAGCAAACACTCAACATATCTTACTCCTGTGATTCAGCATTGACATACTGAAGTGAAAATATCATGCCCTATTGTCTTTCACTGAGAGGCAGGGTAGTTTAGTGAAAAGAACACTAGACTTGGAATTAGGAGGAACTGGGTTTGAATTCTATCTGTGACACTGATTAGCTGTGTGACCATGGACAAATCACTTCAACTTGCTGAGTCTTAGCTTCTTCATCATAAAATAAGGCTACTACCTCTACTGCTGACTTCACTGAGTTGTGAGCATCAAATGAAAAGAATGAATATAAAGTACTTTGTAAATCTCGTATAAATATCAACTACCACTACTATAATTATTACTGATATCACAATCCATCTCAGTCCTATGATTCTATTGTTCTTATCCTCTGCCCTTCCAACCCACTGTGCCCTCTGGAATCTCCAGTGTACTGTTAACAACATTTCCTTCATCTCACACCTCTTCGCCTCACACTTCTTTCATCTTTTGGCCATCAAGGAAACCTGGTTTCTTCTGGAAGACATTATATCCCTGACCACCCTCTTCAATGACTGGGTGCTCTTTTTCTGGATCAGGAAGGGGAGGAGGAGAAGGAGACACTGAGGGTGTATTCCTTGCTACTACCTATATTACTTGGCATAGATCATCTACCAGCCTCCAAGTCAATCAGTCACCCACCAAGCATTTATTAAGTGCTCACTATGTGTACCAGGCACCGTGCTGAGGCTAGAAATACATGAAAAGCAAAAACATGGTCTCCCTGAAGGAGTTCACATGTTAATGAGGGAGACAATTTGAACATACAAGATACAATGCAAATGGAAAGTAATCTCAGAAGAAAAGAGCTAGTGATGTGGGGTGGAGGGAGAAAAGGCCAATCCTCCCTTTCTCAAATAATTTCTCATTCATATAGCTCTGTATTCATGAGCAAGTCCTTTGATTTCACTGAGTCTAGTTTCTTTATTGGTCAAATGGGTTTAATATATTTAGACCATGCAGCTCTCTCAGTGTTGTGGTGAGGAAAGTGCTTTGTAAACTGTAGAGTACTCTATAAATGTGAATGAGTGTTACTTTAATTTGGCTGGTTTCAATAACCAAATGGCTGCTGGCAATGATTAGTCAGTATGGGGAATCATTAAAGTGGTCCCCTGCATACCCTGATTGCCACTTTTCAAACAGTGGTCACTGTATTAACTCATTCATCTCCAAGACCATAATCTAATCTAAGACAGAATTTTTTTTTTGAGCCCAATGCCTTTGGAAGTAGAAGCTAATGAATAACAGCAGTCCTGATTAACAAAAGTGGTTCAAAGACGAATGCACATACCCAATCTGACTTGGGCTAGGTATCTGCTGGCTGGCTGAGGTTATAAACTACCACGTGGGTGACTGTGCAGAACTCTTAACTTTTTTATGTTTGCTGCTGACACGCTGGTCTGCTGTTAACCAGGGTCTTTTCAAGCAATCTCAAAGCCAGGTTGTAATGCCTAAGCATTCCCCCTCACTTGTTACGGAAGCATGGCACCTCAAAAGCCATCTAGTCTAATCTCTTCATTTTACAGCCCTTTTTTTTTGGGGGGGGGGCGCAACATAATTCCTGTCTTAGGTCTCCATGTAGCAGTTTTGGTATTTTGATCCTAGAACTACAGAAATGCCCCACCTAATATCGTTCATTTCTTCCAAGAAAGCACAATGTTAGGTGAAATGATTTTTAGATAAAATGACATGACTGGGGGCAGTTAACTGTAAGCACAAAGTTCTAAATGTGAAACTGGCCAAATGACAATACAATCAGTTTGGTTATATCGTATTAATGATATTGTCGCAAAACAGTGCTGGTTGGCACACTCTCACATGGGGTCTCTCCATTTAGGACAAAGCTGCATTTTCATGAATATCCACTATTGAAGGAAGACCCTCTATTAATATGTTAAAAGGCTCACAGTCTAATTTAAAGACCAAAACCATACTTTGAGAATACATTATTAAAGAAAACATTTTCTAATTAAATCCCTTCTCAGTTAAGGAAAAAATTCTGTCCCCCATCTTTGGATTAAGTCTTAAGCTGGAGGACCCCCTCCTCCTTTGTCCAACAGCTCCTGTTGCTTAATATCTCTGCTGTTTAAAATGATGAATTATTTAGGTTGCCAGATAATAGGCTATGAGAAAAATTCAGCTGAATAAAAGTTGAGAAGAGATAGAACAATGTGACAAATTATATACTGTTTATCCTAAATTTAATGAATAAAAAATAACATTTGTGCTTTTTTAATTGTCCTAATCCATCAATGAAGAGATGTGGTTTCACTCAGACAAATGAAATGAAAAGTTTAGGAAAATCAGCCATTTTCACTACTAATAACATCAGAAAACAATTTTGTTCCACTCAACCACAAGACATATGCTTGTGCTAACTCTAGACCATTAATATACCTTTACTGTGGGTAATAAGCTGAAATTTACTGTGCAAATCATACAATAGCCTGCAACCATTTTGGACTATGTAATGATCCCTCCTATGGGTGACATAATGAATTAAATTGCTGTTGTAGGGCTTAATTCATTATATTACCCCAAGGAAGAATCTGGAAACACTGATTGTGAATTATAGGCACAGTTTGTTATAACACATTCCAATTTAAAACCAATAATGCAACTTATACAATATTTCTTACTTTTCATTTCCAGGGTTGAGTTTTTTAAATAAAGTTCTGCTTAGCCAGACTATAAGATATGGTACTTCGCTAGTATTCCTAATTAAGGAAGAAGTTAAAGGAACATTAAATAGCCTGTCATAAAAGTGCCGAACATTTCTGCCTTATAGCTTAAAGCCAAAATATTTTCAATAAGTCCATAAAAGTATAAGAAAGTCCTGTTGTTTTCAAATAATCACTTAGAGGGCAGAGGAGAGGTTGAACCCACCACATCAAATCAACTCACATTACTAGAACTAATCTACATCAGGCTGTTTCTAGGCTTTATTCAATTGTGTCCCCCCCCCCCCAAATATAAGTCTTGTCTGGAATGGACTGCCCTCCGCCATCACTGCCTAATGAAGGTCTAACACATTTGCCACCTTCTCTATGAAGTCTTCTTTGACCCTCTGGCTGTAAAATGATTTTTTCCCTTTTCTTCATAGTACTTTGGCTCTATTTTTTGTGCTTATCACATGCTGCTTTGTAGTTATTTCTGCACAAAGTTTCCATGCCTAATTAGGTTATAAACTCCTTGAAGACAGTGTAGCATTGGTCCTAACATATAACTTATTGAACTGAACTTAATTAAAATATCACCATATTCCTTCCTGTCCATTTAAGGGATGTGTTTGGTTTTTTTAAGCTCAAGGTACTGTAAACAAATTAAATACCACTGATGTACACATACGTATTATTGTAAAAAAAATTTCTTATGCATTTAGTTAAATTATCATGCTGGATACAAAGAACCAGTATCAATCACTCTATCTGACCAATCAGATCCCAAAGTGATTTTCCAAAAGCACAGGTCTGATCACGTCACCTCATTATTCAATATACTCTAAGGACTCCTTTTACCGCTAGCCTCAAACACAACGATGCTTGGCACTGAATGATCTTCATAACCTGGCCCTTCCTTTTCCTTCCAGTCTTCCTTCACTCCCTGCTGGTGCAGCTACACTGACTGCTTTGCTTCATTCTCACACAAGATACTCACTCTCCTGCTTCCCTAATTTTTCACTGGCTGTCAATTATGTCTGGAAAGCTCTGCTTCTTTACCCCCAACTCTCAGCACAGTGTGTCCTGTAGAAAGTACTTAATGGTCCCACAGCTGCTAGAGCCTTGTCTTCTAAGGTGACATATATGCC